ATGGGATCATCCCAGGCACTTTGCTATCCCCGGAGGCAGGAAACGGGGAAAGCTGGTAGGTCTGTCAGCAGGGACTCACCACAGGAGCTGCGTGGAGGAACACCCGAGCTCGTGTCCCTGCAGCACGAGCAGCGCCCCGGGAGCGCGGCAGCTCCATCCGCCCGGCTGCAGCCTGGGCACAGGCGCCTCCGATCCCAGCAGCTTCCCAAGCAGCTTCCACATGCCGGATGGGAAAGCGGGGCTGTCCTGGTGCTGCATTCCCGCTTGGGCCTGTCCCTTGTTTCTAGTCCCACATAAGGGAAAAGGGCTCCGGGATGGGGATGGGTGGGAGCACAATGGGCCAGCGCCACGCGCGGGGCACCCCTGTGGGACATCCACACACGGTGCTGAAGCCCCCGTGAGGTCTCATCCCTGAGGCTTCATCCCACTGCTCCCTGGGAGCAGCCGTCTCCACACACACAACCCCTGGGACAGCTCCCCCAGGGGAAAAGGGACCCCACCTGGAGCCAGCTAGACACAGGAGCCACCAAAGCCACCCGAGTGGCTGCTGCCCAAGAGGAACAAGCACACAGAGCAGAACCAACAAACAGCCGGGAGAAACGGATGTGAAAGAGGCAGGAGCCGACCAGGACAGTGACCCTGTTCCCACCAAGGACACAAGCCTGCCACCAAGGTGGCACCTGGCTGCTCCAGCAGTCACCAAAGTGCCACTTTCCACCTTGCCGGGGGGAGATATAAGTGGTGCCCCTGCAGCACTGTGATGTAAGAAATAAAACTAAGCAGGGGGGAAGGATTGACCAAGATAGAAGCTGAGAACTCTTGGGAACCCTTGGATAGACGCTGGGAACTCTTTCTCTCCAAGATGAGATAATCATCTTGGAGAGAAAAGAAGTCACAGCTGGTTGGGGAGACAGTCCCGAGCAGGCGCTGCTGAACAACCCCCAAGTGAGCTGCATCCGCACGGAGCTGGGGAAAAGGAAGCAGGACAAGACCCCTGCTTTGTGAGGAGAGTGTCCCCACACTACCGAGTGGGACCAGTGCCCTGTGCCCTCAATGATGGGATTTCCTAAGACCTGGGAGAAACAGAGAGCGTCGGGTCCAAAAGAGGGTCGCACTTCTCACCTGAAAGAGCACAAGCACCCAAAGGTGCACGTTGCTTGCAGCATTGCCACCCTTGGGCACGTCCCCACGTGCTCAATCCCTCCTTGGCAGTAGGGAATGACACTTGTTTGCGCAACAGTCTTCCATGGAAGAGCACAGTAGGTGGCAAAGCGGGAACATAAAGGTAAGAACCTCTGTAGGTTCAGCCTACAGAGGGGACCTTGTTCTCCTGTTCTGCTGGCAGAAGTCCTGGTGACATTAACTGCTCCCCTGTGGAAACAGTGATGCACTGTCCATGCTTCCCATTGCTGAGAAGATAGCTGTGAAGCTAGAGCAAGTTTTAACCTCAATTTCTTTACACAATCTAACGATCCCACCAGAATTCCTGCCCTGTTGCAGGGGTCCTGCTCCATGCAGAGTCAGGCAAATGCAACAACCCTGTCCCTAACCAACAGGCCTAGTGGAAATGGGAAAGCTTCTGTAGGCAGAGAGCTTGATTCTGGTTTTAGCTTTCCAAAGTGCTTTCGGGTGGCCGAACCAAAAGTCTGATCGCTCTGCTGGATTGACCTCTCACAGGTCTGCGAGGCTTAATTCTCTAATGATTATAAAGCATTCAGACATTTGCAGAGAAGCGTTATTTAATTACCGGAGTGCCAAGGGAGAGCCTCTCTTCCCTAATCGTAGTGCTCCGGAGCGCTCTCCCGCCGGGAACGCGCGGCGCGATAGCACACGGAAGTGTCTGCAGCAGAGCGCGGGCAGCAGGGCAAGAGCGACTGTGGGAACCGTAACTCAGCATTTCCTGACAGGGGTGATTAAAATCTCAAGCTCAGTGTAATATTAACACTTTCTCAAGAGATTGACAGCACGTTTGCCCTGTTTACTTTACCAATTCACAGCCTGCACAGTAAGCTGCATACAGTACTATCAGATTTAAGATCAATATAGACCCAAGGCAAATGAAACCACTGGCAGAGAAGAAATAGGACCCAGCTCTTCAGCTCACTTTGCCACCCCAGTGCCTTTTTAAAGAAAAAAGAGCTGCTCATTGATTTTTTTTTTTTCCTGGAGGGGGTGAGAAGTTCTTATTGGAATCCTACCCAAAGCCACCTAATGTTGTCAGGTAACCAGGGCAGCCCGCGCTTTCACATCATTGCACGCCTGGAAACAGTCAACGGACAGGAGACCGCAGAGCACAGCTAAAAAAATTCACAGAATGAAACCCCAAAAGGCTCCAGGCACAACGGACACAGCCCTAAAAGGGCAGGCTGCAACCCAAATACTTCTGCGGACTGTTTTGAAACAGTGCCAACGACAGAGGATGCCCTCCATGCCAGCAGTGCCAAATTCAATCATTGACAAAGGGGCCAAAAGCAGAGGCATGCTCCTTGGTGTGGACAGATGGTGCATTCCTGGAATTCTGTGTCTTCCTGGAAAACAGGATGTAGAAAACAGTGGAAGAAGCAGCTATGCCAAAACTCTACCTACACATACAGTGCCAAGGCAAACTACCAGCACCGCGTGTCACCCCTGCTTGTCACAGCAACACCTAGAGCAGGGCCTGGCTCCTGCAGCCTCCCCATCGCAGTAACTGCGTGCAGCTGCTGCCTGACCTGGAAAGAAAGCACCGAGCTCTGTGTTACAGCCAGCACGGAGAAAGGAAGTGCAAGTGAGTGCAGAGCAGCACACGTTTGCACGCTGCAAATTGCAGATCTGCAGCTCGGCCGGTCCCGGGGGGGCCCGTTCAGCCCTGCCGAGAGGGCTGCAACGCGGCACCGGCAGCTCGTGCCCTTCGCCAGGGAGGAACTGACCACCGGGAACGGAAATCCTCCCAATCCCATTCCGTGCTGTCTACCAAACGGCCAGTTCATCCACAGGAAAAACACGTCCATCACCTTTGGCTTGGGCTGGACCTGAAGCAGCAGCTTCTGTATGAATGGTTCAAGGGTCTCTCTCCTGCATCTCTGCCCTGTTCATGTCCCGAGCTGTTTGGCTCTATATAGGTGTTACAACTGCTCCTGAAAGCAGGTGCCTTCCCATTGTACCCTGTAAAATTCCCTTCTCTGGCCCTGAAACAGTCACCATAAAGCCTGATGCCCAAGAAGCTTCCCACAGAGCTGTCAGCACAGACAGGCTCGTCTCGGTGTTTTTCAGCAGCTAAAGCTGACAGGGAAGGAACCAGGCAGACAACGCACCAGTTGAGAGCCAGTTCCTTCAAATGCCACGTCAGGAGGGGAACACGTCCCCCTGGGAGCCGCGCTGCTCCCTTCCACGGCGGCTGCCGGGCGCAGGCAGGGCCCTTCGGAGGCCAAACAGTGCCACACAGCGGCAGGACCCGGCTGCTCGGCTCCCGCGGCCCGCCAGGAGCCCCTGTCACTGCAAGGCCGCAGCTCGGAAACCTGGACAGCGACAGCGACTTCCAGTTTCTTTTTCGCGTGGTTATTTTTACTCCGGAGCAGTTCAGCGCCGCGGTCGCGCTGCAGCTAACGCAGGCAAGGGCAGCACGCTGCAGCACACCGGCAGCTCGGGGAGAAGCCTCCTGCACCCTCAGGCCGGCATCTCTTTTGCTGCTGCATTTCTGAGCATGTTGGTCAGAGGAGAAAGGTTTCTCCAAAGCAGCTTTTGGAGCAGATGAGGAATCCCGGACTAAGGCTGGGCCTTAGAGCCCAGAGACCTTAAAACCTGCACTCAGAGAGCAGCGCTCCTCCACAAGCAGAGCAGGGCAAGCTCTAGCAAACATCACTGCACTGGGAACAACAAGCTGCTACTGCCTCCAGCTCTGCCAGCAGATAAACTACCTCACACTGGAGGGCTGTACATGTGCCTCAAAACAGCAGCATCTGATGTCAAACCATCTTCATCAATGATTTACAGGGGCTCCGGCTTGGTACACGCTCCTTTCAGCACTGCCGAGGGAGCAAAGGTCTCCCAGAAGAGAAGCTGAGGAGAAGGGAAAACAATCGAGGGCAGTAACATCTCAAAAATGCTACGGCAATGATGTGCCAGAGCTTCACTTCCAAAACCTTAAGACTTCAGCCCAGTTCCACCCAGCTGAAGTCACAAGCTAGTTACAAAAGTGCAATAATCTCCAAGAAGCTCTGGGCCCTGCAGGATGCGGAGAAGTTCCCAGTCCTGCTAAACTTACATCCCTAACAGCCATTTTAGGACAGGCAGCCCAGAGCTCCCTGGCAAGTTCCCTCACAGGCTGCATGTGCCAAAACAGTGCGAGGATTCCTAGAGGATGAGCTCCCAACCAAGGGCTGCCTCCGCCTGCATTCCCGTGCCTCACAGAGCCCACTGGGGCTCCTCTTGCAAGGTACACAGCTTCAACAGATGAGAGATGCTGTTAGTCTTATTTTTTACGCCTTGCAGACGAAAGGAAGTAGTTTAGAAAGTTTTTTTTTTCCTTGCAGTCTAAGAGGAAATACCAACAATGCAAACATTACACCTACACTGGAAATTAAAACCATCGTTTTCATATTCCCAGTGCAAACCTCCAGTCATCTGGCATCGGCACAAGTGACCCATTTGCAGAGCAAGCCTCAGAGCTCCCGGAATCGCTGTGAACTCTGCTCTTCAGCACCTGACCTCATTTCCCACCAGCAACCTCACCCAAGTCAGAGCCTTCAGCAACGCATTTCACTGCATCTTCTGTTTGTGCCTTCCCTATTCCATATCAGCCGCACCAGCATGTGCTGCCAAGAAAGGGATGGTAATAACATGCTTTAAACATGAGAGGCACGAGGTCACCAGCTCTTCAGCCTGACCCAGGCACAGCTCCCATAGGAGAAGCCAAAACACTGGAAAATTTAGCAACAGGAAAGCAAAACAGATCCAGTGTCATTCAACTGCATTCCAAACACATGACACCAAAGCCAACCGCCGCGTCCTGCAGTACTCACGTCGCTGGGGCTGAGGTTCCCAAGACCGTTGTCCTGCTCAGAATCCCTGCCGGACTCGTGGCCCTGGGAGGAGCGGGGGTGGGAGGGATGAATCCAGATCTCCAGCCGCGTGGCATCATCTCCGACTTGTCGGAACGTGGACTTCTTGCCCTTTCCCCGGCAGCTGGGGCTCAGCTCCAGCACCTGATGCTTCTTCTGCTCCAGCTGCTCAGCCTGTGCAGATAGGACAGATTCAGAGCCCCCCCAAGGGATCAAAATTCACGGAAAATGAGTTGTTTCATTTACAAAGAGCCTTCCTCCAGCTTACAAACTACACCAACCCACTGCAAGGTCTGTAAATTTGACTTCTGACACTATAGATTAGTGCAGGTGAGAGGTTTTTTTGAGCTTTTTTGATTGCCCTGAATCAAGAAAGGCAATGTCCAGTCCCAGCAGTGTGAGCCAACATGCTGAAGCTTTTATTTGGGGTGACCCTCTAAGGCACAGAGGGATTTCAGCCTCTCTTGCTCACAGGGGCATCTGTGGGATGAGGTGATGACCATGCCAAAGCCACCCTCCAAAACACAGTAAGCTCTTGCAGAGCCTGGTTGGGTTACAGTGACCCAGAAACAAGAGGTTCCACTGTCCCCCAAAAACATAAACAACTTTGAGGAGATGCAGAGAGGAACCATCATTTCAAAGCCGGGCATCTCCTCTGACTCCCAAAGCGGATTTCTCAGAACTAGATCAGCAGTGACTCCACATCCAAAGCCTCTGCTCTGGATCACAGCTCTGCAGCACAGAAGAGGCAGCGCAGGCAGCTGCAGCACCCAGCTCAGCTCCAAGACTCACCTTGCGCTTCGTCTCTTCAAACAGGCTCATGAGGCTCTCCTTGGCCGTGAGGATGGGGTTGCTAGCGGCCAGGCTGCGCATGTAGTAGTAGACGGCATCCAGCTTCCTCCGCTGCAAAAACACAACCAGAATCCGGCCCTTATTCCGGAGCATTTGGCCAAGCCCCCACACACTTCACCTTCCCTCTCCTTCAATATATCTGCCTGGGACAGAAAGACATTCGGGGTAAGAGCAGCCCTGCGGACAAGCAGGGCCTTGGACTCTCTCCCCAGCTTCACAAGTACCTGCACGGTGGCAGAGCAGCAGCATTTTGGCAGGGTTAGGAGCACCCTGCAGATGACACAGCAGCCTGCACACTTGCTCTGGCCTCAGACCAACAACCCGGTCCATCAGCAAACATCACAGCAAGGGGTGACAGTAAAAGATACTGAACTGAGGGCGCTTTGGGGCTTTTTGACTCTTTTCAACAGCGCTATGAATAAGAAATGACTGCTCTAAGTTTTACAAAAAGCAGAGGTCCAGGCAGACTGAAGACCTTGCCAGACTCCTGCCAGTGGCAGTGCAGGATGCTGTCCTCATCTCACCCTGCCACTGGGCTCAATCCTCTCACACTGGAGCAACCTCTCTGCACTCTCCCCACCACAGGCTGCCTGCAGAGCACACTGTGATAAGGCACCTCCTTCTGCTGGCCCTCTGGATGCCACAGCAGTCCCAACAGCCTCCAGCACAGTCCCCAAACTTCTACCAAACACAGAGTCCTTCACCACGTAACGAACCTGCCAGCACCCGCAACACCTACAATCCACAGAGCCCACCCTGCCAACAGCTTTTCCTTTATTTTTTTTCCTCCTTTCCCTGCAATTAAATCATCTTCACGCGTTGCCTTAAGCAGTGTGTTTCTCCACCAGCTGGACTCTCCAAACCGTCCTGGAGGGCTTTCCCTATCCCTGCTGCATCCTGGTGTCACGAGTATCTTACCGTGTAGATGGCCAGCAGCGCCAGCTGGTTGTAGGGGCGGCCGTTTTTGGGAGCAATTTGCTGAGCCTTCAGGTACCAGCTGAGGAAGGGAAGAATCAGGAGAAGTTACGGAAAGGACATCAAAACCCCTGGCCACTGTTAGGGGTACAGGATTCCCCCCACAGCACGGGCAGCCCTGCGGGGACCAGGCCCTTTGCACAAGTGCCATCTGCCTGTGAGAGGGTGCAGAACCCACGCCAGGTCCCTGGGACAAGGAAAACTGGCAGATGCATCTGGAGGAAGAACTTGTCTTGGCTCAGCCTGAACACAAGCATTTAGCCAGAGCCAGCAATCACTGTCCCCAAGGCAGCCTAGGGCACACAGGACAGACTATTTGTCTTCCCATCTGCTTTTTAACTCCACGGCAGCTGGCACCAAATCTTCTTGGTTGTTTATCTCATTTCCAATATCTGCAGGATACTAAGTCACCCTAAGGGAAGGGACGTCCGTTCAGCGGCAGTCGATTCATCCCTCTTTTTCCCTCCCTCCCTCTCTTTTTCCTCAGTTTTCCTATCTATTTTTCAGCTTACATTATGCCACACACATCTATTGACACTGTTCAGACAGGCCACTGAGCTGAACAAGTTCTCTGCAGCACCTGGAGACACTAACAGACTCCACAATGTCTGCAGGCCCCAAATGCAGCAGCTTTACCTGCTCTGCTCCCCAAGGCTCACTTTCCTCCCCACTCTTTGCTCCATCCGCTACAGAAACCAACACTCTGCCCGGCTTCAGAAAAAAAGGACTAGACAAAACAAGAGTGAGAGGAAAGAACAAGTGCCCAAAATTCCTCAGGCTGTCAGAGCACGGACAGATGGATATGGAAACCTTTCCTAACTGTAAAGCCACCAACAAGCAGCTTTTTTAATACGGCTAATCTGCCACAGGATCAGCACAGGACCACATAGGGTGATGGAGGAAGACTACAATTGCTGGCTTGCTTTCTAGGACAGACAATTACACATCTACATCTTACAGTCTCACATGACCAGGATAAAATAAAGGGGTATGGAAACACTCCTTTAGCAAGAGGCAAGTTTAAACCCGAAGTGAGCTGCATCCCTTGTAGCTAAACAGAGGAGCAGCCGTGCTCAGGCCACGGTACCTGCGTGCTTTCCCGTAGTTGGCCGTGTCGTTCGCTTGCTCTCGGTATCGGCAAATGTCCCCCTGACAAATCATGCACCTCTGAGCACTGATGAGCGCGTACTTCACCTGGGGACACAGGAACATTCAGCACATGATATGAGAACTTCCTAGCTCATCCAGACCATGAGCTCCCTGAACATGACAGCTGTAGCTAGACGTGTCCCTGCTCGGAATGGAGCTGGACTAAAATACCCTTTCCCAGCTGTCCCTCACACTGCAATAGCCACTTAGGCAATACACTGTCCAGCATCGTGGAGACAGCACAACTGTTTGCTTTCCTTCTCTGCTGTTCTGGATTATAAGGACAGAAATAGATGTTCAATATCTAAGGCAAAAAATAGGGTACCTTTATACTCTTCCTTCCCTTCGCTAGCCCGGGTCACCGGAACCAGGTACATGAGCCCAGGTGACAGAACTGGTGTGTGAAAAGACTCCTTGACAAGAAATGTGAACCGGGACAGTTAATGTCTCTAACAGCTGGGAAAGGTCCCCTGCAGACACATGGGTATCTGCTTGGAGCACAGCTGCCCACCTCTCGGCTAGGACAGCACACGAGTTGGGAGCTTAGCGTGAAAAACGGGATGAGATGTCTTCAGGAAGGAGCCACCTACCATTTTCCGCAGGGGTTTACTCCGGATGGCCATGCCATCCATGTAGTCCTCCAGCTTGAACTGGTATGACACCTGCAGCTTCTGGAGCAGGCCATCAAAAAAGGAAGTGCCCTGTAAAACAGCCACACACTTGGTAATTATGATATTTCTGATGATGAGAGCAATATCACCACACCATCCTGCCACATGCAAGGGAAAAAAGGCACTTCTCCCTGAGTTTTGGGCTGTTTCTCTTCAGAAAAAGGCAAAGAGGTCAGGGATTCTCTTTCCTTGGAGGTTTCCAAGACTTAGCTAAATAAAGTCAAAATAGACCTGATAGAGTATTAGCCATAGTCCTATTTGAAGCAGATTAGACTAAAGCCCTCCAGCACTCCCTTCCCAACAACACAACTTTGTGAAACATTTCCTTTCAGATCTGTTGGCCTACATATGGCAAAGAAGTTGAGATGCATAGGCCAACAGAACAAGTTTAAAGTAAATTTGACCATGGTGGCACAAACACCTCCATTTTTATTTCCACTTTAGAAAGTTTATTTCATTTTAGCCTAAACCAATTTCTAATCAATACAGAACATGCCAAAACAAGCCTGGTTTAAATAGTAACAAATGTCCACCTACACTTGGAACACTACCCATACTCAACTCACCTGAGCATCCCCCTCATACAACCAATGCATAAGGCACATGGAGGATGGCAGGGGGCTGGTCACCCAGCTCTGCCAACACTAGACAAACCCACCCAAAGCTTGAAGAGGGTTTGGAGACACATTTCTCTTCGTACCTCATCCAGAAGCTGGAGGAGTTTGTTACGAATTTCTTGACCATTTTCCCCCAGCGGGTCCTTGAGGAGCTGCCGGAATTTCTCGATCACCTGGTAGAAGGCGTTTTTCCACAGCAGCTGGTCCACGTTCTGGGTGTCGGAGAACTCGATATCCATGAGGATGCACCGCTCGTAGAGCTGCAGCATCTCCACCCTAGACAGACACACAGAGTCAGCACAGCAGCAGCCGCCCGGCCCCGGCCCCAGCTGCAGGGAACACGTGCGGAGCCACCCGGCACGCGCTCCGAAAGCGAATCCGTATTTCCACATGTGTCCTAGAGAGAGGGAGATGGAGGCGATTGCAAACACGCACCCTTCCTGCCCAGGGAAGCAAACCTGAAAGGAGCATCTCCCTTTTCTTCAGGCAAAGGGCAAGGACATCCTGCTCTGTCACCGGGATCATGAGGGCACAGGTGTCTCTAGACACCAGCACAGGGCAGCAAACTGCCAAAACAGCCTCATCCACTTCTGCTTGAGCACCAGCCTCTGCTCCTCCCAAGCCCAAAGCCGGTTACAAAGGGCAGGAATGAGCTCACAGAGAACCAGAGGGCAGGAGAGCTCCTGCCGCTGGAACGAAACCCACCTCCCTTCAGCTCAGCTAATACCCAAAACTGAGAGCCTGCTTCCTCTGGCAGTAACGGGCCAACGCTGCTGCTTTCTAAAGATGAGCAGAGGCTGAGAACGTTACACCTGAAGCAAATAAAGTCTCCAAGTAGAAGAAATCACATGCTCTTCGCCAGCAACTTACAGCCTTGCCCAGAGCGCGGAGCAAAATTCCTGTCCCGAGCCAGGCAGGCTAGAAACAGCTGCCCAGTCCTGGGGACAGCTCGTGACAAGGGCATCCTCAGCAGATACTGCTCTGTCCCCTGTAACACTCTGGGCATCAGAGAAGACAGTAACAGAGAATAAAGTGGAGGGTACAAAGACAAGTCAGGCTGCAGCGTCTGGAGAAGCCTGATGGAGTAAGAGAGAAGGATATTGCAGGCTGCTGGGCAAAAGTGGAGGGCATAGCCTGTCCTGCTGCCCGGCCACACGCAGTCACCCTGTCACCATGTTCCCTTCGGTGGCACAAGCACCGACCGAGGGGTTTACAGACCTTTCTGCAGATGGACGCCCCAAGATGCAGGACACAGCTCTGCGGGCAGGCAGACAAGCTGCTTAAAGGGATGCGAGAGGGGGAAGTCCAGCATAGCTAGAGAGCCCCTAAGATGAGGGCCTGGAAGAGGGACCGCACCACGGATGCGCTGGACAACATGAGGATGAGCTGAAACCTCCAGCGCTGCTTCGAGGACGGTCACATCCCACCCTGTGACCTATGCTGCAAGTCCATGAAACACGAAGGAAGCCCTGAAATCTGCTCCTCTGCTAGATTTGCTGCCAGTCAGCTCTCACGATACATCTCTGAGGAACCCTGGAGACACAGAAGTCACAAGTAAACACAGAAGATGTCAAGTAGAAACGGCTGCTGAGCTAACTGCCCTCCGGAGCACCAGTGTCACCTCCTGCTTGCTGGCTGGCATCACCAGGCTACTCCCACGAGACCACCGCGTGTCAGAGCTGAATGGCATCGAGGGCGAAACTTAAAAACGCCGTCACTGCTACTGCCACGGAGCACTGAGAACACACAGGACGCTGCGCAAGAGCAATTCAGCAGTGCCAGCCTCCGAAGGCCGCAATGCCAATGAAAAAGCAGATAACCAGGGAATGGGAAGAAAGCAGAACTCTGCCAGCACACAGGGGAAGGGCACGAGAGCACTGGAGCAACACGGAGCAGCCCCAGGAAGCAGAACCCAAGAAGCTCTGGGCACACGTCCTGCTCCCCAGAGCCCCCGAGCCCCAGGATCAGGTGTCCCTGGTGCCACAGGCACAAGCAGCCCTGGTTCAGCTCCCAGCCCAGGCGAACAGCTTCTTCCCCTAGTTTTCTTCTGACACTTGCCCACCTTGGGCACGTGACAAGCCCAAGCTCCAGCACATCACAAGCTGAGCAGCCAGCACCGACCCATCACCCGGAGACCCAGCACCCCCGGTCTGCCGGGTCCCCAAGGAGACCTTGTGCTTTGGATAACGCTCCTGCAGAAGTTCACCCTGGGAATGACCCAGTCACCCGCTGCTCCGCTACAAACCTCAGCTGGGCCATCTTCTCCAGCCCCTCCGGGCTGATGCGGTCCCGGGAAAGCAGATTGCTGAGCTGCTGCTCCTGGTTCGCAGCCTCGCGGAGGAGTTTGCCGAGCTCCTGCTGCTGCATGTTCCGCATCTGCTGCTCCATCTCAGGACTCAGAGGAGTCGCAGGGAGCGGGCTGCAGATAAACTGCCCGGCCTGGCCAGGATAGCCAGGGTAATAGGCTCCCGGGTA